AAAATGGAATACACGAAATAAATTTATTTTTACGGTAACCTCCTCTATTCTAAAATTTTTTACACGGTAGCTCCGTTTTGCATATCGTATACTTACGTTATTTTCAGACTCATGATGAATAAGCAGTATAGTGGTAATATTAGGAAATATGAAAATCCTGTGTGATATATGAATTTGCCGAAATATGAGGGGAAAAAAATCTAAAAAAATATGAGGTTATAAGTGAGATAATATAAAAAAGATACGAATTCCATCAAACACATTTGAATCGTATGTTACAAATATATTGGCTTTTTAGTGTAACAAGATTTTGAAAGAATATTAATTTTAAAGTTAATACTTTTACTGCGCGACGTATTTTAGTTATCTGTAAAATCTAATTCCATGAATCGTTAATTTTATATATAATTTATTTTAGTATCCATATAATTTATCGATATTCCACAAAGTTATCAGAGACAGTAGTTCTGTATTTGCGGTCTGTATTTTCTTCTCTAGTCTAACCGCATTTTCCCGTGCGCAATTACGATCTGTCCTAAGCAGTGCATATTACTTATGTTACATTCGGAGTCACAGAGTAATGCGTTCCATTACGCCTACCACCCGCACGCATTTCTCGTTCGTGTTTACTCTATCGTGGTTTCAAACCGATCGCGCAATGATGGAACTATTTATTCTGCGAGCGACATTTCCCAGTTAGAATAACTCGTTCGTCTCATCGACGTCGCACGAGGACGAGTCAATTTTATCCTTGCTATTATTATTAGCGCGTCTAATCAAGAATAATGTTACGTAATTAAATCAGTTACCTATAACAATGCCGTTAGCTAAGAATCTCAGACCGGTTTTTCGTCAATTTGTATTTTTTTCGGATGCTTAAACGGAACCGTCGTAGATTCTTCGTTTTACCGCGACGTTGACAAGGAATAAGTTAATAACCGATAAATCGACCGACGATTCGTCGGATAGCGAAACGAGGCGCTGGTTTTTGCCAATTAAACGAATTTGCACCAGGAGATCTTGTTAATAGCCCGGTGGTTGCAAATCACCCTTTTTCCTTCAATATACCATACATTTTAAATTCCGATTTTAGCTTTCGAGAGTTCACAGGTGGTGAATATCTCGTTACCATGCAAAATTTTCCCATATCTTCTGGCGAATATTCAAGAATCAAATCGCAAGGGAAATTAATTTAAAGTATCACCTGTACCTAGATCATATATTATTAATAAGAATTGATAAGGTGGCTTACTGCTTATTCGCCATTCTCTGTATATGTTATATTCGCTATGTAAAACTACAAATAATTGCCGTAATTTATTTAAAATTATTCGAACGTGATGCAAAGATATCGATGCATAAATGTGTAAATGATGATATGTAGAACAGGTAGGTACTATATAATGTCTTTCGCAAATTATTCTAGTTAAGTCATTTTCTTTACATACCTACATTCTTTTCGCACTCTTGCATAATGTTACATCATAGTATATTGTCACTTAAAAGATGATTATCACGATCAAAGCTTGAGCTTCTTAATTATCTGCTTGTTACATTAAATAAATGTTATATAATTGATCAATTATCGATGTATGTCTTAAATGGCTAATTAATAAGAAAAGTTACGTAAATATAATCTTTTTAACGCTTTCTAAATCTTCTGTAAATTCTACTATGGTTATATTTCGACACACATTTATAAGTATAATTCAAAATGAAATATAAATAGATAATAATATTATAACGCGAGAACGGTGCACAATAAAATTAATAGCGAGAGTTTATTGTTTATTATAATATAGAGACATTTTATAATAAACATATCTATATTTAAAAAACAATTTAACGCGCAAAAATATTGATGATGAAATATATATCTCTTTATTTTACATAAAAGAGAAATCAAAATCTCGTGGTGACATACTAATAAAGGATTTTCAACATAGCAGATAATGTTACGTATATTTCATGTCTAATAATCGATCAATTTATTATCATAATCAAATTGAATGAAACATTCGAATGACTTGTCTCTTAACCCTAGAACATGCTGCGCAGCCTCATCTGCCGTTTAGTAGACGTATGGCTACACTCAATAGGTAGATGTACTAAATACATGTGTGATGTTCTAGGGTTAATTCACTCAGCTTACGAATTTTCGACATATGTCGCGTCGGCGGAAGCACCGAATTGTGACGCAGTACCAGAGCACATCATTGCCGTATATGAAATACATCACACTGGTATTTCATCTACTTGCTTATATCCACGTTATGTCCTCGATGGCTATTTGTTTCGAGTGCTCGCCAACGCTGTTTCGCGGACATTATTAAAATGGGCTATCGCATAATTTGCATGGCGACAATGGCGTAAGGCGGCGCCCTGAAAAAGGGGCCGCGCGTTAAACGGTAATAACGGCAATTCTTGATATGACAAAGGGAAAGGGAAAGTCGAGGGTGCTCCTCTCGGGTTCGAGGATACCCGGGTGAGATAGATAGCGAGAGAACTCTACGAAGAAGAAGAAAAGAAAGATGAGAGGCGCAGGAATGCAAGGGATAAAAAAAGCGAGGGAAGATATCATTATTTTTAACCATGCTTTTTGCCATCAGGGGGTATACAACGACCCCTGACATGTATTTTTGCTCTTTGAGCATGTACGAAATATTTCTTATCTTTGTACGCGAGACATGCGGAATTTATATATGTGGGATACATATATCTACATAATTGTCTTCTTAAAATGCTCATGATTATCAAAAGTACGTTAATTAAAAGTTAGAAACATTTAAATCTGACTTTGTCCGATAGTGAAAAAAAATTTATAATATTGATAGCGAGAAATGATTTGTAACATCGAAAAAATTAAACATCTAATACATGCAAGCTGTATAAATTTATTATTATTTAACAAGCTTAAGTAATATAAATATTCAATTACATTTATATATGTAAATGTAATACTTCTGCCATTTTTAAGAACAATTTGAGAATAAGTTTGAGGTCGGTGAAAGTACAAAGCCTTTCTATTTCACAATGGTAAGGAATCCGCCGCTCTTTTCAATGAAATATTTATATAGAGAGATTGTCCACGTTAGCGCATATATACAATACAAGAATGGCAACCTGACCCACTCGCATCTCAAGGGGAACAAACAGTACTCGTTGCATTCGTAGCAAATTGGATATTTCTTCGTAGATTTCAGGCGTGGTGACGAGAAACCGACTGTATCTGTGTACACCGATCCTCCGTAGGTTTTACTGCACAAACAGCCACGGTAATCGATACCACGAATTGCATGCTGTGGTAATTTTTTTTTTAGAGGGAAGTCGCGGGTTTAAATCGATCATGTGACGGCGGCAGGGAAATTGAATATATTACCGAGATCATCAGTGTGCAAATGAAATTGAATATATCGTTATAGTTATCAGTATGCAAATGAAAGACAAGATCGAAACCACTTATTATAGCTATTAATACAAATCGCTTATCTCGTAATAAATGATGTACGGTAACTCGACGTTCCGTAATCGCAGAAAATATTCATCGCGTATCATATTTAAAGATTCGTCGCGAATTAAAATGTATAACGCACTCAACTGGGCTCGGTAGATTGATATGAAGTTTTGTTTGAAGTCTTGTTGAAGTTTTGTTTCCGATTCGAATACGTGCGTCAGTATCAGTCGGACGTAGGAATAGAATGGCTCGGAGCTTTATATCGAAAATTGATGGCGCGAACGTGACTAACGACCAGTGACTCGATATTTTTCTCTTAACCTGCTTTCATTCCCTCCTTTTTTTTCCCTCTTTCGCGTTCGTCTCCTCCGCGAAACGTTTGTCTAGTGACTCGCCTAATTTTACCGCCATTTTCTTACACGAATGCGTAATGTGCCTGCTAAATGATTCGGAATGATTTCGAAAGGGCTAGCTCTAGTGACGCAATTCGTTACCCTCAATGATCGCCGACGTATCAGATTCCTCGGTGTACGTTGCGTGCTGCAACAAGTTACATTCATGAATCGGGCATATTTTACCGTGGCCGGTCGAGATCTGCGATGCGAGACAGCCGGACGCGAGCGGATCAGAGAGGAACGGTGCGTGGCTTGCATTTCGACCGGTTTGCATTTCCGGTATCCCGTTTCTAAAGCGACCCCCAAAAACTAATATTACTTTAGATCCCCGAAGGTAATGATTGAAATTCGAAATCGCGGTTTAACCGTTCTCCCGTAGATGAAAGTACGAATCTCCGCCAACCGTAGTCGATTCCGGGTTGTATTCCGCGAGATGGGAATACAATCCGGTAGTCGAGTACGGTGAGATAAATCTCCACATCTGACACTGAAAGTTATTTGGAGAGCAAATCTCTCCCAAACGATAATTAATTCTAAAAGCATTTACTGTCGAATTCTAAAAGCGATTACTAAAAAATATTTAAAAAATATCACGTCAGAGCTTGCTGGAGAATAATGATAAATTATGCATTATGTCGCGATTTTTTTTCTGTAAGCAAAAGATATCGAGTACAGAAGATACTTTTTTTTTCAGCGCCCATAATGCCACGTGCGAAAAAAAATCGATCGCCTCCTCGTCGCACAATGGGATCCATTTGACGCTGCATCGACGCTTTCCCGGCGACGCGAATCGCCGCCAGTCAGATAATCTATCAAGGGACCCGACTCCTCGCGCGGAAGTTTTCAGGGGCAAGCACCTGTGGAATACACCCATACCCAGAAATCCCGAGCGAGCCTCGTCGTCGGCACTTCGCGGCGAGATTCGAGTTCGCACGGGAACGTGGGTGGCCGCGTCGTCGTCGCCGGGGACAGAAGCATGGAGGGAACGCCGTGACCGAGGTACACGGGTACGTTTGATTGGACGAGAATGCTTTGGCGGTGAATCGACGACGGGGTGGGAACCAACCGTCCCGGGGGTGGGGGACGTGCGATGGGGTGTAAGGGGGTGCGAGAGTCGCAAAGTCGCGCGGGCTTATATAAACGCGCGGCGGACGGTTCGCCTTCGCAGAGCCGTATCAACCGTCGCTGGACGACGCACCACCATCTCCGCAGATATTCGGCAGGCCCGCTTTTGTCAGCTACCCGACCACCATCAGCGTCAAGGTACGTGCTCATTTCTAACTGTATCAACTTTTCCCTTATTCGCATGATTATCTTCTCGGCGTTTCAAGAAACGTCCCGCAAGTGTTATCAGCAGTTTTTGTCGTGTACTTTGGAGAAAGAGTAAAGTTTTCCGTAGCGGAAATATTGAAGTGTCAATAATTTCGATATTATAAACCAAAAGTTAAGTAGCTTCTGAATTCATATCTTTCTTTTTAAAGGTATAGAAATATAAAATACGAAATAATAAATAAGTGAATGATAGAATCATCCCCTTTTTAATTTCAAGTTTGTTTTATGATTGTGCAAAGATTTAGATAGAGAAAGAGAGTTCCTGAAATAGTTAAAGATACAAAGTTCTGCTGCAACAACGCGGTGTTAGCAACAGCAATCCTTCAAATCGCATGATAAGTTGCACGCATAATCCCGCATAGAAATATAAAATACGAAATAATAAATAAGTGAATGATAGAATCATCCCCTTTTTAATTTCAAGTTTGTTTTATGATTGTGCAAAGATTTAGATAAAGAAAGAGAGTTCCTGAATTAGTTAAAGATACAAAGTTCTGCTGCAACAACGCGGTGTTAGCAACAGCAATCCTTCAAATCGCATGATAAGTTGCACGCATAATCCCGCATACCCTTACAGTTGGAGAAATAACTCCGCGCTCGTTATATTATCCAATAATAAATTTTAGCGCGCTATGTCTCCCAGTAGTAAGACCCTGTATTTTCACAGACAGTATAGTAAGACCCTACGTTACGTCGTACAGCAGTAACTTCCCGCACAGTTTGTCAACCGTAGAAGTTATTGAGGATATTTGGAGAGTCTCTGTTCGTTCTGTATATATAAATAGGATAATTCGCGACTATATTACTTTGGAAGTTGAAACTAAGTCAACTTTATTTGATATTACGTGGAGAAAAAATTAACACAAAAATTTCTTAAGAAATTCAGGCCTTACATAAAGTTTTATTGAAATGAAGGGGAATATTTTATAAAAACACACAGAATAATTAAATTGTCATGTAGATTGTTTCAAATACCGATTGATACGTATTAAGAAAATTAAGAAAATATATCAATTAAATATTAAACAAGATCTTGTGCATTGTCTTTCTGTTAATCTATGAAGGAATATTACGTATTTACATTTTTTTTATTAGTGATATAGCTTCTTCGAAAAATCTCTTCTCGTGGATAAAAAAATATATTTCGCGGAAGTAGAAAAAAAAGAATCCATCGATTACTGCTCTTATCCGTGAGATTACCGGATAATACGCAGGTGACAAAATGAAAGCCAAGATAAAAACTTCGCTAAGAAGTGATTTAGGTTAAACAAATACCGTAAAAATGGTTTTTACGAAACTCCACAAAGTCGGCCTCATAAATCCGCCGAAATTACATTTGTTTAAAAGCTCTCGGGCTCCTCGAACAGGTGAAACGATCGAGACAGTGCGAAAAGAGAAGGCCTCATTCTAATCAAATACTAAATATCCTGTCGAATCCATCGATCAAGAGCTTTTAGGGACTGTGATATAATTAAATAATAAAAACTCGTTGTTTGCTCTTGAAAATTAAAAGGATTTTCTCCCCTTCGGGGAAATATAAAATTTCATCGTTGAGAAATTTTATTGTCTCTTGATGCGAAATACGATAAAATTTATAATGACTTTTTAAGTCATTATTACATCTTTATCAAGACCTTCCTCGAAATTTTTCAAAGAAAGAAGCGATTTTAAATTCATGGAGAAAATTCTTGTTACAAAATTGATACAGGATATATTAAAGCACCTTTGCATTAACGAATAAAATTTTACCTGGATGGATATCGCTGCGCGTTTTTGCGGCAAAATATCCATCGTTACCATGCCCATAATGTTCATTCCACATCCGTGTATAGCGAAGCGCGATCGCGGTCGAGAGGGCACGTAACACGCGTAGCAACAAAAGGATCAATTGTTGACAGATAAAGCACCTAATGAGACACCTGCACCGCAATAACCAATCGTGATTCCGCAACGCTATTGCCAGTAGACAAAAAAATCGACGTGTATTTCGAAACACAAAACGCAAAACCGCAGCGAGCGCATTATGATAATTTGCAATCGATTAATATCTAATTACAGCCCCCGGACATTATCGCGAAGCGCGAAATTACATGCGTAGCAGGGTTGCTCCGCGATGCGTATCCTCGTAATTTCCTCTTCAATTGGCACGATCGATTAATAAGACCGACTAATCAGTTTGGACTGTATAATTACATTATTAGTTTAAAAACGTCGCTGAAAAGCTTCTTAACAAGTAATTTACCGACGAATAATTTAGAAAATTACTCAAAATAATTTGGAAATTTAATTTTATAAATGTAAAACAAATTCGCGACCCGAGAACGCATATTTCCGTATAAGTAGTAAAAGCCTGTTGGCATGCACCTTTAGGTATACGGCTTCATCTGAAACTTTACTGAAACTTTTTACGACTTTGCGATATACCACAAAAAGCATTAATGTTTCGCCAATCAGGAAGTCATTTCATCAGTGTAATGAAAGAAAGGACAAAAAATTGTGACATTTTGCTTTCTGAAAGTTTGGCATTTGAGACAAATTAATTAACTATAATAATAACGCATTTCATACTACTCGCATTTCTGTAACCTTTATTTGTCACGGAGAAAATCTAAATTTTATGAGATTTTCTATACAGGAATATATACCTAAAAAATTTATGAATAGTTGTTTTTAGATCTGGATATTAATTATGAACGAGAGGAAAATCTTTCTACGTTATCTTTAAATTAGCTTCTATGTTATCTTTAAATTAACAAGATACGGTTATGTTAATTTATAATAATTATTTGTAAAATCAAAGTTGTTTTTTGTCTCATTTCTTATAATTTCCCACGTAAATCGAAATGCGAATGATATGGCCGTTGACTAAATTCTAAAATAACAAAAGCAATAAAATAGTCAGAAACGTGTTGAGCCTCCCATCGGGGAGACGAAATTTAAAAAGCCAAATTTTGCTGCGGTAGTCGTTATAATCGATGGTCAAATATTTGCGCACAATGGTTCGCGCGCGGCGATGTGAGTAAATATTTTACGATTGACTTTAGATAGAGACGTATTCGCCGTATTTACGAAACGATTAACGACGATGGTCAGCGGCGCACTCGGAGTGTTACGGCGCCACGCCGCGCCGGCAGGAAATTGTTGGGCGAAAGGATTGGCTCCAGGATTAGCGATAAAAAAGCAATGTTGTCTGAGCGCGCTTTTGCTGGCATTTAACTAAGCCAGAAATAAAAAGGTTAGACGCAATTAATTACTTTCTACAAATAAAATTAGGATTTTTACGATTCACAGGAAATATTCTTTCTCACGACCCTAATAACTTGCAATTTTAATAATAACGTTGTTTTAAAGCGAGAGAGGAGGGAGAGAGAGAGAGAGGTTTGAGATAAAACGAAATTATACGACGTTTCTCTCGTTTTATTTAAAAATTATTACTCGAGCTTATTAAAAGTACAAACCATTAAATATTTTAATTGTGAATAACAGTAACAACGAGGAAATAAAATTAACAACCCAAAATAGAAATGATAAATGAAACTTTAATCTTTAATATTGTTAAATTTGCTTACGATCGGTAAATTATACAATGATGCAGATAATTACACTAGTCCCTATTCCTAGGAATAGGAACTAGTGTAATTAACTTAGGTTTAACCTAGGTTTAAATGAGATGATGCTCTTTTGGAATAACGGCATTTGTATAAACCCGATGGGAAGCAAATTGCGCTCTGCGCACAAAACGCTCGGCGGGACGTGGCGAGTAATGTCATTTTGCGATGATACGTCTGCGAGTTTCGTATGAATGGACTCTTGATGGTAGCGAGTTCTACCTGTACACCGGAACACATTTTAACTTTCACGCTCAACGATATGAAAGCCGCGAGAGGGTATATCTCGTCTACGAACCTGATATACATCTCTCGCTGTGGTAAACTGTTTAAAGTATTAACGCTCGGTGTCCGTGCATATACGCAGGTAGAGGATGTATATTTTATATTCGTTCCAGAATTTACGCAATTTTAAACGCGCTCATGCGAATAGAATAAGTGTCGTGGAGTGTATTATCGCGTTGATTTTCAAAATACGTTAATTTAATTTTCCGCGTCGCGCTTTTCCGCATTACGAGATGTACTTTACACGAGAAACTTTGGGAAAATATTATCAACGAATTGTATAGAATCGATAAAAAGCTCACGGCGATATCTGTTTTGGATATGATTTTGATTACAATTATTTTTTCTGTATAATATAGCTGAATACATTTTTATTTGATTTTAGAGGATAAAGAAAACTATAATGAATTTGTTAATAAAATAGAATGCAACAAAAGGCAATAATCAATTATTGGATGAATCAACCGTAAATGAAAACGTAAAATGAAATGGCATCAGAGATGCATAAACTTATTAAGTAATAATGATAACAGTAATTTTTAAAAATGTCGATATTATTTTTAAGTTCACTTTATTTTTATATCCAATAATAATTAAACTTTCAGAAGAGTGACGCAATTTTTAGTCTTTTCCGCGTGATTTTATTCCGATTTACATTTAACCGACCTCTTTAATCATTTTTGCAGTCAAATACAGGCAAACTGACTTTCCGCCGCAACGAAAATTCTCACGGGAACTAAGCGTTTGGAGCGCGAGCCACTTGGGGCGGAGTATCATTGATTTATAGGTAAACTCGGTCGCTTTTTTTATTGCAGCGAGATCGTAGAAATTCCAGCGGGCTGAAAAGTAGTAGCTTTTAATATTAGCGCGAGCGGGTACGAGCACCGGGTAAGAACGTACGATACATAACCGATCTAACGGCGGCGACGTTTCTCCCGCAATCGTCGTGCTTGGTCGTTTATCAGGGTTACCCAGGGTGCACTTTTCCTTTGTTTATGGATTTTTTACTCTAAACGTAATTTTTCTTCTAAATTGTAT